AGAACATCAAGACAATGCAATGAAGTCTACCCCTTCGCTACTATGTTCAACACAGAAAATTCTCCGTCCTGCATCTAGCAGCAAAAATAAAATAATACACAATACCTGAAAATGAATTTCAGTAAAACGAAATACCTGTCACTAGTCCTGAACACAGCCCCAGCATTCTCCAGCAAAATCTTCAGCAACTCCAGAGCCACGATCTTCCCCTTCATCAACTGCGGGTCTCCTACCGCCTCCTTTGGAGGCGTCTTCATGGACAACTTACAAAGCGCCCTAAACACCAAAAAAGCATCTCTCCTCAACTTATTCCCAATCTGAACCTCTAAATCATCGTCCCTCTCCACCACTTCCCCATCCACAAGCTCCCCCTTCCGTCCCTCTAACGCCGTCTTATACATACTAATCTCCCAATACTTAGCATCCAACATGTCTTTATCAGTAGAATCCAACAAGTCAGTAGGGTTCGTAGTCTCCACCGTGGTGGTCTCGAACGCACCGTCGTGCCCACCTAGCAAATTAACCTTCCCACTTGGCGCCGTAGGGTTCAAAACGCCGTCAATGTCCTGCATTATCTTCGTTATAAAGCCCTGCACAAACTGCGTCATTGAATTGTCTTCATCGGATTTCTCTGCAGGCTCCATCAATTCCGCCACTACGATCGGTTGAATCGGCACAGTCGAGGAATCCGCCTCCATGCGACGGAACACGATCACCAGCATTTGGATCAACGACGCCTTCGCGGTCGTTTGATTCACCACATTGTTGCTCACGAGATATATATCGTAGCAGGTTCGCACAATGAGAAGCAAGGAATCACCGTGGATGCGGAGCGAAATTGACGTCACGGCGGAGAGCAAGGTCTTGAGGACCAGTAACTCCATCGCATCGTCGCCGAAATCGTGACATTTGCAGACCGATTCAATGAGCTTGGACAGGAGCTTCGCCTCCGGCGCCGCAGCACCGGAGGCCGGCTCCGCCTCGCCGCGGATGAAGCCATGCGCAATGAGCTTCTGGATGGCGTCCACGGCGGGATCGGCGATCTTGAGGACTCCGGAGCCGGCAGCATTGATGAGAGGCATGAGGATTGACTCGGACTCTGCCAAGGAGAACTCCAACGGACCTCCGTCATGGAGCGGACCAGGAACGTCCGGTTCATTGTCGGAGGGAGATCCCGGCGTCGGAAAATGCTGGTGCTGGAGGCCGAGCCTCTCAATGACGGATTTGCACTCATGAGTGAGTTTGGCATGCTTCCGCCACGACGCGTTCTTGATTATCTTCTCAAGCGCGGGTACCACGACCAGCCTCAGACGGGAATAGGCTTCCGAAGAAGCCATTCCCGAGCTCGGAGCGAGTTGCGACTCGGCTACGTCGCGGAGGTTGAGATCTTTGACGGGAATCCAATGCGGACGCGTCTACACTACGATGTCGGAGCCATGAGCTGCGAACTCGGCTGAATCTTGAAGGTGAAAAAGAAATAGTCAGTGAACAATGTTGAACGATCTGAATTTCAGAGAACAAAACGTTACTTGATGTTTGAGCTTCTGAGATCGTTTTTGGGTATGCGAGGTTCCTCACTCTCAGCATGAATTGACAAAAGAACCCTTCGTTAGTTATGACGTTACGGGATTATTGGACGTAACGAGACGGAGAACGAAAGGGTAGTTATGTGTTTTCAACTATCTCAGATCACCGGAGACGTTGAAAATCTTTTAATTATTGTTCTTCTATTCTTCCTTCTTATAAGGATAATATTTTATCTCAGGATTCTTTTGTCATTAACTACTTTATATTTACATTAAAAAAATACTTAATAATATTTAATCACTTTAAGTATTATATTACAATTTTGAAAAGGTTGTAAGAATTGAATTTGAACCCGCCACACTGTTATAAAAAGCGTGTGCAACATTTTGACATTTGAGAATTGGTAATAAAATTATCTGTGGAAAAGCTTCATGATTATGTCAGACAAACAAATTATCTATTGCTGTCAATAATGACTGGACAAGATAATATATATATATATATATATATATATATATATAT